GCACGGTCTAGATAGGGTTAAACGAGGCTAAATGCTATAATTTATATGTTGTGTCCCAGTTTCTATTTTAAATTTCGAAATCATAGGATTGATTAAATTTGTTGTCTGGAGTAGAAAATATAGGCTGTCAATGGATTTCGGTGAGTATTTCGGTTACGTAATTAAAGATTTAGACACATATAGAAATCAAAGGTAGCTAGAAATACCATAACATTGTACAATCATATTTCATTTCCACTCACCTTGATAACCTGTCAGCAACTTCCAGTTTCCCGAACGAATAGCAGCGTAAGTAGAGGTGTCAAAAATGTCATCAGTCCACAAGTGTGAAGATGAGGATTTTGATCGCCGTTGGAGAGGGTCAATATTGTGGAGGATTTCTTCCCGCGGAGAAGGTGATCCCATGCTGTGGAATTGTCAAGTTAAGTCGCTAGATAAGGCACATGCCTAATTGGATAATGAAAATTTTATTTATTTTTCCGGGGAAAAGGCGGTCTTGATATACCTTTTATTTAAAAAAACGTTACATTTCAATTCTTTAAAGGCAAACGTATCAGAGAACTCATGCCAACGTGTGTCCTAAGCACCCTGATGCAAAAAATTATAATACTTAGTAAATGGTCTATGCTCAAGGCATACTAATGACAAATTGTAAGTTATGTCATATATATATTTAGAGGGAGGGAGAGAGAGAAAGAAAGAGAAAGAGACAGACAGACACAGGGAGACAGAGGGAGAGAGCGATACATGTCACAAAAAAGGACCTCACCGAAACCTTTCAGTCGATCTCGTTAACCTTCGTCATATGTTTGGTCCACTCTCGGAAAGGCAGCAGCGTGATGACGTCAAGAGTAAATCAAAAGTGTTGGGGAGACGGAATCTACCAACCTCACGGTTTGAAAAGTGGATCACAGAGTTGACAAAGGCTGACGAGATCTAATGAAAATATATGGTAAGTTCCTTTCTTGTGTTGGAACAGAACTCAAACAGTAAACTATAAAACCTTCATATTGCTTTCTTTACCTTATTGCGTCCCAGACATCAAATCCATCCAAAGACTTTGTGTTATTTTTTGATGCACGAGAGATACGAAGTAGAGTAGGGAACCAATCAGAGATGTGAATAAGAGCATCACTTTTTCGTTTTGCTTTCTTCAGTAGTTTGCTGGTAACAAAACCAACACCTCGTACTCCTCCCTCCCACAGGGTACTCTTCCAACCTCTCAGCGGCCAGTTACTTCCAGCGTTTCTCCTAGCACCGTTATCTAAGAATGAGACAATAGTTAACAGTAAGTTTAAAAAATCAACATCAATTTTTGTATTTCAAAACTAATGAAATTATAACCAATGATATCATTGGCAATGTAATTTAGGAACCGATATATTATCAAAAACGTTTCCCCTATGGGCTTCAAATTGTTTAATGTGCTGGTTTGGAATTCTTTGTTCAAAATAAAATTAATTCAAGAGGGTGAAGACATAGGATATAGGTAACCAAAACAGGAAAACTTCTCAAATCTATGTTACGATATAGCCTGTTTAGTACATTAAATCAACATTAAAATGTAACATCAAAGCATTACAGATAAAAATTAAGAAGGCTTGATGTTCTCAATAACATAATCGTTTCGGGCGTTTTTGCCATCCTAAAACAAGTAGGAAGGTTTTCAGAACAAGCTTGGAGTCCTTGGTGTTATTATCATCAGTATGATTCCCCACTGTATAATGCATGCGTTTGTAGCCGTAAAAACGTCCTGCAGCTGCATTCATTCTTCTTCTCCATCCAATGTGACTTCCGTCTCGTGGACTCCATTAGCTCCTGGACCTTTGTGCTATCCCCCTGTGCTTCATATCTCAATTTCAGCATGATTAGCAGATTAACGCAACGTTATTTCAAATCTGTCCCCGGACATGGTCTGGGCACTGTTAGCTTTCTTCCGACCAACAGCCATCCAGCACCAAACATGGTCAAACTTCATGTCCACACCCCAACTTCTTAAATAATCTAAAGAATTCTACTGGCGCAGCGAAACAGTACGTCAGCCAAAAACTGCCGACCTTTCTCCCAGCCTGCAGAGAGAGGTGCTGTGTTGCCGTTTTTGTACCGCCTGTCAATAGTCAACATCGCTTTGTAGCCTTTGAAGAACTGTGATGACAATCAGTTGTTTGCGGTAGCAGGTACCAATCTATAACTGTCCTTGGTTCTGCCCGGCTGTTGCAGGTATATAGCATGATAGAGACACTGCAAACACTGTACAGCTGTAGATTCTTTGTAAAGGAGTCCTTATCTTTGAATCCAGGATTTCCAAGGCTCTAAAGCAATGTTGCCCATGGTGTAGCGTGTTTTCACTTCGGCAGAGCTACAGACAAGGGAGCAAATGATTTTATTTTGCATTCATTCCTCCTCTCCTTGAAGTGTTTCGTCAGCCACGTATATATGTGTAAATTTGTTTTTGCCTTCATTCACAAATGGCTGAAGGTGCAAAATGCGACATTCCTCACCTGATGCTTGATCATCAGACTTTCATAAGTTCTCACCAGAAGGCTGAATGTTTCGCTAAAATTTTCTCTGAGAAGTTCACCATCCCCAAAGACGAAATTGACAGAGAGGTCCCCAAGGTGTCAAAGAAGACACATTCCCCTCCTCCGAAGGTGACATTTTGGTCAAAACATGTCAGTAAAGAGTATGCCCTAACTGTATGGTTGTCTCCATGCGAAAACGAGGTAGCTAGGCTTGACTTTATACAAAGGAAAGCGTTGAAAATCATTAAATTTTCCTCAACTGGTCCGTCTAATGCGTGCATCGAACCTTTGGACCACCGCAGGGAAGTTGGTGCATTTACTCTCGTCCACCGTATGCAACACAGAGAGGCACCAGCCCTGTTTTAACCCTATCTAGACCAGAGGGGGGGGGGGCTAAAAGTGCCCGCGCCAACTTTGATGTCACGTAGCGTCTGAACGGCTAGTGCTAGAACGACCAAACTTGGCGACTTTTCCTAAAATATTGTTGGCAACAATTCTCATTCATTAGAATAAGATAATATTTTTTGTGTTGCCATGGCAACGGGTTTCTGACAGGCATTTTTTAATACTAAATTTAGTAATTTTAGTTTCAACAATAAAATTTTATGGGTTTTATGTCAAGTTACCCATGGTTTCTAATATTAATAACATCCCAGATAATTTTATGTAAATTTTATAATTAAAATGCATAATTAATGCTAATTGTATGACGTCATTGGCCCAAATCCAAGATGGCGGACCATATCATAATAACAGGTATATACAGGTTATTTTCCTTAAAATTTCATCAATACTTCTATTCCTTTTGACAAAAAAAATTAAGTGAAGGTCTTTAGTATGTTTACAATTTGTATTTTAGGCTTTATCATGAAAAAAACTATTTTTGAAAATTCAAGATTTATGATCCAAAATGGCGGACATCTTAAATATGAATGAAGTCATTTTATGACGTCACTGGTGTTGCTATGGGCAACATAAGACTTAGTACACCCTAATATTCTGTCATAAACACTTTTGTTAAAGTTATGTTGTAAACTATTTAATTTTTAGGGTATAACCTATCTTGACGGTTTTGGCCAATAAAATCAAATTAATGACGTCAAAATGACGTCATATTACGTCATAACGACATAAAAATTGCAGATATTTACCAATTTTTACTAGTACATCATCCTCTGAAAATTTGGTGGTCATACGACATACCGTTCGCGAGTCAAAAGACCCCCCCCCCCGGTCCCCCCCCCCCATGCTCAAAAAAGCCCGGTTTAGATCACTGTACGAATTTCCACAAGTTTCCAACAAGGGACACGTTGGTGAAACATGACATGTCCCAGCCGTGTACATAAGTTTCCACGGGTGTCCCATCCCGGCGTGTCCACTGTTGGAAACCCGTGCACACAATGGGACACGCGAAGTGTACAGGATTTCCCACTGTTGGAAACGTCTCGTGTCCTGACTAATTATCGTCACAATGGAGTATCCAACCTAAGAAAATAGGCACGGCAATCTATAAGCAGTTTTGTTGTGTTTGTTTACACATATATTGCCATTGGACTTTGCGAGTCTGGCTTTACAGAGCAGACTATTTTGCTTCCGCACCAGGCTATATAGATTGACCGCCGCTAAAGAATCTAGCAGGATATACAAAGCTTGGTATGAACGCCGGGGTCTAAGAGTTTCCTGCAGTTTATACTTAGTATATGTCGTTAACGTTTTCTGTACATGGCCCTACAGCGCATGGATGTACAATAGAAATAATTATCACTCCGCTTTAGTAAATTTTCTGGTAGAAATGGCGTGAACCCCTGATACATTTCGGCGTATACTATCGGTAAATCAAGAAAGCACTCCGACGGACGCCGATAGAGTGATAATTTGCAACACGTTGTTGTAAACGAAAAGAAATAGCTGAAGATAATAAACTAAAGACTTGCTCACGCGCGATCATCTGTAGCGTGTTTTGTTTTGGGTACCAAATTATAAACTCAGCCTAGAAGTGCAGGGGACGTGCAATTTTGAAATTTCTACTGCAAAAATTATGTTTATTAGTGGAAGTCATAAGTGATCATGATTAGTTTTTTTGTTGGTTTAACTAAGAGATATTGTAATGCTTCGCAGTATTTTTCCGATGTATCTGTTTCCAAACTTACTTGAATATTACCATATCGACTATAACCCTTACTACCTAACTAACAATGTAGAGATTTCTTTGTCTGGTAGCTCGGCTTTCTCCATAAATTAACGCCTTATTACGTCGACGCCATATTGGATCTACGGTATATAATAGACAAAAAAAAAACACAATTACTGGTCAGAACTTTCCCAAACTAGGCTATTGGATAACCTCGACCTTGATACATTTCACGTGGAAACATGTCCGTTTTCATTGGTGATGAGGGGCACCCCCTTGGCGTTTTTCAAATATTTGCCCACTGTGTATTGTGGTGTAATGGTCAGACGAGATGCCGTCTATGTTTAAAAATATCCCTGTTTACCATGTTTGGTTTTTGTAAAGGAGCCTTAGTTTAACTTCCTTGTTTTTATTTCATTTTCTTGAACAAGAAGTTGTAAACATTACACAGGTTAACTGCAGAATGTATTATGTGTTACGCATATGCAGACTTGGTAATGTTTCGGCGCATTTTGGCGTAAGATTAGCCTATAGGGTTTATTGTTTTTTAAGCTTTATAGCGTGAATCTTTTTCACATTAGACAACTGGGACATTTCACAGCCCTTTGTGTCGGTCGTTATTCTTGCAGTGATCTGCTCGCGCTCTATTTTTGAAATCTGTCATTTAGCACGCCGGGTTGTGTAACGTGCATTCTACAGTTCTCCTGGACACAAACAACACGCTAGGACTTAGTGAGAGACTGGGAAATTTCGGTCTACATCAACACCGAGGAATATCGACATGGCGTCATTTCCTAGCGTCTACCAGGCTCCGGGAAGCGGCTGGAACCGTAGCGGCAAACTGTTTTCACCAGCAGCACCAACTACCTTGGCATGCTATCTCTCCATTGGGCCGATTTCCACTCTTTCCAGCCACTTCTCAAAGCCTGGTAAAGACTAGCTGTTTCCAAGACAAGAACGCCGCGGGACATTGGCAATACGAACTGGGCTAGACGTCTCTCCAGACAGAGGTTGATTGGGAAGATTGTGAACTTCAGTCTATGTCCCGTTTTTTTAAAGCCGGTAGCCTACCCTAGGGAGACTAGGCAAGACGAGCTGAGGAAGGATTCCAAGGACTGGAGACTCATATCTGCTCCCGAGACTGTCATCGTCTACATGCCATACGTGGAAGGACGAACAGGCCGAGATCTACAATTTGTTTCAGATGAACCTGTGCTGACAGACTCGACAAAACACACTGGAAATTTGGGAGGTGCATAAAATACATACAGATCGGAACCTCCTGATGACCAGTTTGCAAAAAAAAAAAAACAGCCACAAACACACACTCACACAAAGACCAAGCACCATTTACAACTAATAAAGGCAACTAAAATATCAAAACAGGGGGGGGATAAAGGGGGATATATAGGAGGCCATGATGCTACTTTCCATTACAAAAGGTATATTTGAGGCGTGGCCGGGTGGGTCTGGGGGGAGATAATTACGATAATTGCCGCTAAATTATGCATAAGTCATTCGTGGAACAAAGGCAAACACCTGAAGTTTCCACACGTGCACACAGATATCCCGACGATGTGCACACAAATTTCCACCATAGGACACGAAATGGAAATTTGAGCGGTCCGTTTCCCACGTTTTCCACAAGTTTCCCACAGCGAACACGCCGCGTGTGCACCTTGGAAATCAGTGGAATCCCGCGGAAACTTCGGATTTCCTAGCGCGTATCCATAGATTTCCACGAGGGAAATCTCGGTTTTCGCCCGGTGGATAGGGTTAAATGACATTGTTCCTAAACACAAAGAGGTGCAACGGCTGACACACCAGTCGAAATCCCGGCACAAAAAACACGCTGGTGGTCCCCGTCTCCCACACCAACAATATAAGAACATTTGTACCTACAACTGTTAGTCTTCCGAGTGAGATCGGTAAGAGGACAAAGATTCAAACGTGAAGTTAATTCTTTCCCAAAACTCTGACAGCGTCCTTTCTAGGCAGTCCAGCTGCTAATGCTGAGTGAGAGCTTACATTAATTTAAAAAAAAATTGAATACTTTAAGTTTCTCTCCAAAATAGGTAGGAGTCTTTGTAGCGGATCTTTTTTCTTTATTCAGGAAATCCACGTCACCTGCATACTCCATGCCTAGTTCAGAGAGGGGTTGATTAGGTATCACAGGTGTGCCAGCCGTTGCTCGGCTCTTGACGTACACTCCATATAGCATAGGACGATAAGATGGCAATACGGCTAATGTCTTTGATGAAGTTCTTTGGCGGTTTTGTTTTAACTACGTGAAACAATGTTTATAACTTTATAACATAAAATTAGGTCATATATTCAAAACATGAAAGTCTTGTCTACAAGAATTTTCTTAGGTCTCAGGTAATCTTAATCCTAACAATTTCTAGTTAATATCAGTTGAGTTATTTTGTTTACTGGCTAAGATAGACACAGAAAAACACCGAATTAGAAACCTTTTTTAACTTGGAAGTTATAACAGCATATTTTTTTACATATCCCCAATTATGAATCGTTTGTATTGGCCTTAAAGGTAATTTTGATTTAAAGGAAACACAAACAGAATCCAAAATATTTTGTAAAAATTTATTCACTCCCTTTGTCTGAAAATAAAAAAAAAATGTTCCTTGCTTTACCGAATTGCAGCCACATTCCTCATTCATAGTTTTAATTCTTCAGTCATGTTGTTTAACTTTCAGGTAAACAGATTTTAAGTCAGTTGACTCATGATTATGGGCATGGCCGGCCCCAAGAGAACTTTAAGTCATTTGACTCAAGGCACAGGTTTGAATAATTTGACTCAAGACGAGCACTCAAAATGGGAATTTAGAGCCATTTGACTGAAGCCAGGTACTTTGTTCCATTTGACTCAAGACTGGCAATCGAGCCATGTAAATCGAGACGGAAACTCTTAGTCATTTGACCCAAGAAGGGTACTTAGAGTCTTGGAATCTCTAAGTCGTCTGACTCAAGACAGGTATTTTGAGTCATTTGCCTCAATACGGAGACTTTGATCCATTTTAAGATAACTTCAAAAGGATTATCTTATGTTAATATTTTGTAGCTGTGTACCTCTTGATTTGATGATTCGATTTTGAACTCCCTAAAGTCACGTTATGGTATTGCAGTGGAAATTCCATATTCAGTGTCTTGTTATCTGAACACGCTAGGGTCACAACTCACCAAAGATATCTCTTGAGCTCGTTAAGATGTGATAAGGGTCTGTGCCCCTAACAGTTTACCTGCCGAGTTTTTAATAGTAAAGGCTAGTTACTCAAGAACCGGTTGGTAGATTTGAATCATATTTAGTGTGTAAGCTTCAAGAATCATAGACATATTTAGATGACAGTTATGGAAAAATATCTTTAAATGATTTATTAGGAGATCCTAGAACTGCTACGTTTTATCATAGGTCTTTTGAAACTTGTGACAGCATTCATTTGAAGACGAGAAACTTTTACTCAATTTGATGTGTTAATTTGTATAAATATTGAGGAAATCGTATAACATCTGCGTCCATAATATTCACAGGGTCCATAATATCGCCACCTTGAGAAACAGTGTGCTTAAAGATATTTTACTGCAACATACTTTTGTTATGCACTCCTTCACATCTCAAATGTACATATCTAGTGTATGTTGCAGTAAAAATATCTTAATGCACACTATATCTCAAGGTGGCGATATTATGGACCCTGGTGATATTATGGACACAGATGTTAATTCTGTTGTTGTAACTGCTGCAATTATCAAATTTGTGGAATTTTAATTCTTAAAAGAAGTTAGGCGAAGGTAACAATTATAAATGAAGAAATATCCAAACCAGGATCTAATTGTTAAAAATTTATGAGTAGATTCTTGGATAACCTTCTTTTTCTAATATAAGGCAGTCACTGATTTTTGATCAACTGATGTAGTAATTGCAAATACTATATCTATATAACCAAAAAGGGACATTGTCATATTATAAACCAGCCTCCAAGGTCAGCATCAATAGTCGACAATAAGGCCGCTGGAGCCTAGAGTGTGAAGCGTGCAATAGAATTCTGCCAAATGATATGGGTTGATTGTATAATATAAGTGGAGAAAACAAAAGGTTGCAATAATACCAGGAGGTATCAGGTTACCGAAGGCTGTTTTTCAAGAAAAAAACCTACATACCAGATAGTATCTTTTAGCTGTCTTCGAAAGTATGCAGTCGAAAATTGCCCTTCTTTACCTGTAGAAAATATGAGAACTGTATCGTTCCACAATCCCGTCTTTCTCAAGGCGTCAGTAACATTCCCCACTGCCTCATCCATCGCTGTCACCATGGCGGCGTATGTCCTGACGAGGGTATTCTCTACGTTCTTGTACATGTCAATGTACTGTCGGGGTGCTTCGAGAGGTGAATGGACAGCTTGAAATGGCAGGTAGAGAAACATCGGCTGAGGAAAATTAGGTAAAAGTTTTCTTAACCTATTCCTCAAATGGAAATTCGCAGAATTAAAGGAAGTGTGCAAGTGGAAGAAATTATCTAAACATCATTAATTTTAATACATTTATCTAACCCTATGCAGACTGGGTCTATGATAGAGATACTAATGTCTGAGAATACTGGCAACACTAACGTAAAAAGGACGTCATAACGTAAAAAGACGTCTTGAGATGATATAATCAATATTCTAGCTTTCTGCCATCTTGTATCACTAGACGTAAATTTTTAACAAATACAGTTTAACCCTTGTCCTGCTGGCATTCTTCTACATATTTTCAAAATGACGTCATGTTTAGGTCATTGACCCTGCGTTTTTTGCTCTGTTCTTTGTCAAAAATATGAAATTTAAAATGTATAAAATACATTATCAAAGTGTTCGAAACAAGGCCACCTCAACTTTAAATTTTTCTCTGACCCAAAATCTGGTTTAAATATGGAGATATTAAAGAAATACTTTTCTAAAAGATGGTTGATTTTTAATCCAAATTCTAGCACCGTAAGTAAGTAAAGATTTTTTATACTTTGAGTTATTTTAATAAAACTATTAGATAAATTTAATTCCTTATGTATTTAAGACTTAAGTGTATGTTATAATGTTGATTATGATATAACCATGATAATCAGTTTTATCTCATGCCCTTTGCGTTATTTTGTGCCCTTTGCCCTATTTGATAACAATAATCGCATGCAATATGTCGACATTGTATCTAGTAAATACGGTTATACCTTGTTCTGCGGATGGTTTCGTATGATTTCGATAGCTTTTGAAGCAAACAGGTTGGTAGAGTAGGTTCCGTTTTGATCAAGGACAGGTTTGTCTTGGTCTCGTAGGTCAAGCCCGTGAAATGCGTTTGGATCCTTTGCAAAAAGGTTCGGCCTCCGATGTGTCCAGTAGTCCTCACCTCCGGTCAGGTAACCTTGATGTCAAAAATACACAGAAAAGTCTAAGGCTTACTTTCCGTGTGGAAATCAAATCATTTTAATATAAGGTGTTTTCTTTTCATTTACATAGATACAGGATAAATACTGTTTTGGTCTGATGTATATATCTTAAAATTTTTGTAACGGGACTGAAAACAATCGTTACGCAGGATAATGTCTGCATACTGAACATGTCATGTTGTTATGCTATTGAATAAATTTAACGAGACAACAATTTCGCCTCCGTTTGGAGCCAGGTTGACCGGACCGTGTCAACAGTACAAGATGCAGCGCACACGTTGTCACAGTGCACACTTCATCTTCAGTTTAGGCCAAATCAAGCAAAGGTTACACAAGGTGAACGTGAGGAGGGCTATGGACCCTGATTAAATCCCATCATGGTCTCTGAAACTGTTCAGTGAAGAACTCGCTCCTGTCATGTGTGGTGTTTTAATCCCATATGTCCAGAACTGTACATTCCCACAGATGTGGAAACATGCCATGGTTAGAGCCGTGCCGAAAAACCCAGACCGCATTTCCGTCGGACTACAGACAGATTTCTCGTGTCAGTAGGGATTGAGGGCCCGTTGAAATATGCTCTTATACGGAAAACAGAAAGATACTTGACCTCTTCACAACACGCTTTTCTTCCAAAACGCTCGACGGTCCTTATCCACATACTACAAGCCTGGCATGACGCGCTGAACAGCAGTCCAAGAATGGATATCCACGCCGTATTTGTAGATTTCTCTCGATCCTTCGATACGATTGACCACGGCCAACTGCTACGGACCTTGGTAGATCCGGGTATTCGTCAGGACCTTTGGTCGGAAATCTCCAGTTACCTTGAAGACAGCACACAGATGGTGAAATGGGCTTTGTGTCTGTGAAAGCCCACAAAGTCCTGACTGGTGTCCCGCAAGGTGGCTTGCTCTCTCCACTACTGTTTGCAATATGTATAAACTCGCTGGACGTCACTTTGCCAATGTCGGTTACTCCGGTCAAATATGCCGACGACTTGACTACATTCTGCAGCGAGGGACGTTGTATGACAGGGGATGTGGAAGGGTCTGTCTCTTGGGCTGACATACAGAGCGGAGTTCCCGGGAGTTGATAGTGATGGAGCCATGATGCAGCTTGTAGAAGGTTGCTAGCCTTGCTATTTTCCGCCTTACTTCTAGAGTAGCTCAGTCGAGCTCCTTCAGCATGTCACCAACACTTGAAGTCCGGCGAAAGCGGTTGCATACCCATCTAGCTGCCCTACGTTGGACCTTTTCTAGAGTAGCGATGTCCTTAGCATTGTGCGGGTCCCACACGGTACTCGCGTACTCCAGAATCGGCCTCTCTAGGGCCTTGTAGGCTGCTTCCTTGATTATCTTACAGGCTACCTTGATGTTTCGCCGAATAAGGCCGAGAGAGAAGTTAGCTTTGTTAGTGATGTTTGATACATGTCAGCGTGTGTTACAGGTCAGCTCAAACAAACCTATCTCAGTAAAGATGAAAAGTATGAGACATTTTAACAATGTGATCTACGCACTAAGCCCACACGGGCCATTGGTGTAAATTATCTCCTAAATACAAATATAGAGAGATAGTTGTCAATGGCATAGAGCAGTATTAAGGTTCTTGGAATGAAGGACATTGCACGTCTTTTATTTTTGCTAATCATTATTCGGTGCCGACGTCCCCTACGGATACTGTAGTGACTGTCTGACGGGCTGGCTATAAATGCCCAGAGGGGACAGATATTATCCTGGAGGATGTTGTCAAGTGTTCTCAGGGTAGCTCTGTTACACCCCCATGAAACTCCTTCCTCTTCGCCCCCGCCGTTCTGCTTCGCCCCCGCCCCGTTCTGCTTCGCCCCCGCAAAAAATCTGCTTCGCCCCCGTCGTTCCTCTACGCCCCCGACGCAATTCTGCTTTGCCCCCGTCCTTCTGCTTAGCCCCCAATGGCGGCACAGCTCACAGTCGACACGAAAATCGTCTGCAAAATAACAATAAAGGCTGTGCCGCCAAATTTAAAGTAGCCCATGCTCCGGCAAACATTCTGGACCACCTTTCTGCCAAGTGGCGTTGCACAAATCCTTCCCATTCAAAAGTTTACCCCTACCTCACGGCCCGTCAGTGGTTCTTACGTTTATAAGTACTGGCGGGAAATTTCACTCACGGCTGTACTTCTAAACGCCAGTACTTATAAACGTAAGAACCACTGACTCTCTCCCTTTGTAGTGTGTGTGTGTGTGTGTGTGTGTTTGTGTGTTTCGCAAATGTGTAGTCATTATAATTTAAGAACGCCTTTATGAATTGTAATGATATTCCGAATGTTGGTAGGTCCTAGAAAGACAAAGTCAATGATAAACCTCCTTGTGGATGACCTTGGTATTGCAGCAGAACTTAAGGTTCTTGTATATTTTTTCCTGAACATGCTATGGTTTTGACTTTTAGTAGCATACACAGGTACATAATAATATGCATCTTATGCATGTAAAGACTTAATTTGCATAATTAGTAGAATGTTTTGTAATTACAGTGTTTGACATAATATTTTCATTCACGTAATGTATGTATGACTATAAAGACAGTCGGAACATTAACAGATATAATTATGCAAATATGAAAATTGTTCACTTATGAATGACTCCTTACTAGTAATTGATGGAGATTTTATACCTTGTGACATCTGTTATTTAAAGTTTAACATCGCTATGCATATATTAAGCTGATATAGATGTCATTTAAATAATTAGTTAGGACATGTTGAAATAATACATCGTCAAAGGACAGGAATTTCACACGCAGAAGTTTTTAATTTGAAAACCACGAATTTAAATTTAAAAACATGCTCCTTATTAGCCACTCTAAGCGCCCGAAAACTCCTATAGTTATCTACTAAATGTGGTCACACGCAGAGTCTGAGTCATTATTACCCACATAAATATGTACTTACTAGTAATTTTCGGTCTTTAATTGTTAGTGTATGTGTGTTAGTGTATGCCTTACCGTAAAACCTTTCAAATCCCCTGTGCAGTGGCATGTATTCCTTTCTGTAGAATCCAAGGTGCCATTTGCCCACGATATAAGTGCTATACCCATTTTCCTTTAGCTTCTGGGGTAGGGTAATTTCATCTAAAGGCAGTCCATGGGGGCGGTCGCTAGTTATTACACTATGCTGCATCCCATAGTGAATCTGCAATAAAGGACATCTCTTTTTAATTGGTAACAAACACTGCTATAGTACACATCCTAAAACACAGCTAAAAAGAAAAAAAAATCTAAAAGCCCGTATTAAGAAAATCATCTTGACGTTTGGTATCGGTATGCCATATATTGTGTTTTCTCCTGTTTCTTCTTTCCCTCCTTCTCCTCCTGCCATTTCGTTAAATGGATTTAATTTCCTAATTTTTGGGCCAAAAAAAACCCATACAATTTGGCATGAAGCTAGAGTGATCACAAACCCCATTGCGCTTTTCGTCAAATTTTATATTATTTAATACTTTGTCAAAACGGGTCTGAATTTAGACATTGACATAATATGAAGGAACATTTCAAAGACATATCTCTTTGAATAAAACCTACCTGATACCTGCCTGTCATGAGCTGGCACCTTGACGGGCTACATATGGGCTGCACATAGTAATTCTCTAACGTAACTCCCTCTGATGCCAGGCTATCAAAAACAAACAAAAAATAGCATTGTTTATCAAATTAGGCGGTAATAACATTTTTTTCATTTATTGTTTGACTCCAATTACATATATTCTCTATGTGAAATTGCCATTTTTGCTTGTAGGTTCATCATTTGTGACCTCCACATTGATATTGGTTATTTTTACATGGCAACATTAAGCTAAAATCAACTTGAATATGTAACAAGTATGGAATATTCATTGATAAAATAGCATATTGGGTCCTTATTTTAAGTAATGTATAAATAAGGTTATTTTTGATGATTTTTACATGTCATAGATTACAAAATGTATCAAATCGTTTTTAATGTAAACACACAGAAACATTGCATATTAGGCCTTTTTGTCTCAACTTTATGGATGACACTCTCTAAAGACCCACCAAAAGACGAGAAGACGAGAAGACGATAAAAATCCAGCCGAAATGCATCTAAAGCACAGGAATACTAAGCTGAATTTGGGGCAGTACTTATTACAATAACTAGTTTTAGGGCAGGAATGTACGGCATTCATCAGTTAGCACAGTACTGAGTTATTTATTTCCGTGCAGCCCAGATAGCCTGAGCTGGATGCCGTCCTTTTTAGGGTCCGTTCACACGAAGACGCTGTAAGCGGTTTCAATCCAGATACAACAGAAGCCGGATTTAAGTGGCCTCATGGAAACTCTCAAAATCGCATTAGAAGCGCCTCGATCCCAAAGCACTTAACCCTACCTAGACCTGGCTTTTTTGGCATCGGGGGACCGGGGGGGACCCCCCTCAGAACTCGCGAACGGTATGTCGTATGACCACCAAATTTTCAGAGGATGGTGTACTAGTGAAAATGTATCATATCTACATTTTTTGTCATTATGACGTATTATGACGTCATTATGACGTCATTTATGTGATTTTATTGCCCAAAACCGTCTATATAGGTTTTTCCCTGAAAACTAAATGGTATTCAACATAACTGTACCAAAAGTGTTTATGACAGAATATTAGGGTGTACTAAGTGTTATGTTGCCCATAGCAACACCGGTGACGTCATATAATGACGTCATGCATATTTAAGATACCCGCCATCTTGGATCATCAATCTTGAATTTTCAAAAATAGTTTTTTCATGATAAAGCCTAAAATACATTGTCAACATACTAAAGACCTTCATTTAAACCTTTTTTGGAAAAAGAAATGGAAGTATTGATAAAATTTTAATGAAAATAACCTGTATATACCTGTTCTAATGATATGGTCCGCCATCTTGGATTTTGGCCAATGACGTCATCAAATTAGCATAAATTATGCATATTTAATGATAAAATCTACATGCATTTATATGGGATGTTATTAATTTTAGAAACCATGAGTAACTTGACATAAAACCCATAAAATTCTATTGTTGAAACAAAAAGTACTAAATTTAGCAAAAAATGCCTGTCAGAAACCCGTTGCCATGGCAACACAAAAAGTTATTATCTTATTCCAATGATAGAGAATTGTTGCTAACAATATTCTAGGAAAAGTCACCAAGTTTGGCCGTTCTACGGCTAGCCGTTCAGACGCTAGGTGACATCAAAGTTGCCGCGGGCACTTTTAGCCCCCCCCCGGTCTAGGTAGGGTTAAATCATGGATAGTGGGGTGATATTTCTTTATTTACATACAATGCCAAAGTTTACGAAGCCGAATGACCGAATAATAACCGAATGATTCCAGGACGAACTTCACGGCCTCTGACGGGACTACGTCGGCATTCGGCCGAGATACGCTGGGAGGGGCACCAGCAAGCAGGTCGTTGACCTCTGACAGTGATATCACACTACCTTGCGTGTTATTATTAAACAACAATGAATGTAGATTAGGCGAATCGTGATCGGGCACGGTTTGAAAGGAACGTGTGGCAGGTGGACCAGATGCGAGGAACACTAGTTACCCGAATCGCGGTTTAATGTGTTTAACAAACAGCCTCCCTGCGTATTGTCGCTGGTTTCCAGGTGGGAGGAGGAAATTTTAAGACAGGTGAAAATCAATTAATGTGCGCATGGATGTCATGCATTCAATAAAGTTTGGCCTAATCTTTATGTATGTACTAATGGACATACTCGGGTTTTCTTCTTCACTTATACACATTCAATATTTCGCTAGAAACGTTTGTAACGCTTGTGGTACCAGATCAAAGTGGCTCACACCAAAAGCCCATTTTAGAACTTATAGCAACATAGGTCAACTTGGCGCCAAAATTTCTCTCCCAGGAGGTCGCTACTGGCATTTTACCGAATAAAGTTAATCAAAGTTTTTTAAGGTGTCCTTAAAAGCTCTATGCCTCCATGATGTTAATGCCATAGCACATGCCTAAGACAAAACTGACGTTGTTCTACAGTACCAAGGTAGGAAACCGGGGTCCACATTTGACGATGGCATGTTTATATCCTAATAACATACCAATATCATCACAATCCATAACGGCCTTCTGAAAATTATTTCAATGGCAAATATTAGGAAACACACAAACTGACCAAAAAATACCTGATTTTTTTCAGAAGCTATAAAAAGATAAATAAATTTACTATAGCAAACCTGTCAAGGTTTGGAGTTTGTATGAAGGACCCATGATAACCAATGTCATTCCAGCCGTAGTCGTCCGCCAGAATAAAAACAATGTTGGGTTTTCTACTGGGCAACCCTCCACCGGCGTCAAACCTGATAATCAATGATACAACTATTATTGTATAATTGATAAATGTCATAATAATCATCAGTAGCTAATTTAGGCAAGTTGTCACATTATGAGATAATATATGCAATTACACACTAGTACACACTAGAAAAGTTTTATAACGGTTTTATATAATGAAAGTTATTTACCTTAGCTGCACTCCATGCCAGGAATAATTGCTAGTAGATATAATATCAAACCACAAAAACACAAACAGCACAGATGCAAAAAACAAAAGGACCCAGGATCGACGATTGTGCAAAAACCGTCGTAATGAACGACCATACTGAAAAAATATTACTGCTTCCATCAAACGCCTCTCGTCACCGACGTGCAGAAAATACTGTTACTTTTAGTGGTTTTGTAGGTATTGTATTTACTAGTAGTTTTGTGTGAATCTGCCGAATCGATGTTCTAAAGACATACACTTCCAGTAGTCTTTAAAACTGTACAAGTATTGGGAACACGTTCAACTGGTAATTATAACAATGCACATGCGCAATAGCCTTTATGAATAATGCATCGTCAACCGTGTCTCGTGACGCATGAGACAGTCAATGTAGTCCAGCTTGCTCTATCAGCAGTCAGTAAATCTAGAATACGGTTGATCTAAGTACGACGTGTCATCCCTTTACATAAGGTAAGTGCTGAAAGCCTTTCTCTAATAGTTCAGTATCTGCAATAGACAGTGGAGGTAAAGGTGACCGCCAATGCACGCCGCAGTACGAAAATCCGTGGCCTCGGCATACATATTTTTTTCTTCATATTATCAATTATTTGTAACATTGTTATATAGGAGGGGTGGAAATTAAACCCTGCTTCTGATTTAACACTATCTAAACTAGAGGGAGGCAAAGTCACTATGGATAATGTATGAATGTCTGGCGGTTAAACCAACACAGTTGGTGAACTCTCAATACATATTATGACCTCATTACGACACAGTTTAAATATCCTTAAGACAGGAATCTGCGGGAAACATTGGACTTTCGAACGAATTCTCTATGAGAAAATCTAACCGATTTCCCGAGCTGACGTGCAAGAGTGACCGAGAGAACAACACTGGTTGACCTACGATGACTGCTGGCGATGGTATCCCACAGCATCACAATGCACGACTGGTGACAAGCAGTTGACACATGTTTGTTTTAATAAAATTTATCTTGGCTGTGATGAATGTGTCTTGTTTTATAATTCAGTTTTTACATCACCATTGTATATAGCCCGATGCCAACAGAATATTATGTACTGTCCAAAGTGCTTACTTGAGTAAATACTTGAGTAAATCCATTGACTATAGAGATGACGCATATGTAAAATACTAAAAATTTTGCTTTGTACTTTTTTCAGACGAGCTTTAAAAGGACTGATCATGAAATGGCTTACTTTCACCCGAATACTTCTTGTAGCGCTACTTCTTTTGGCGATACTGTGCCTAAACTTGGAAAAAGACATTTTCAAAGCTACACTTTACATCAGAAATAGGACCCGGACTTACGGTTTGTTAGGTAAGCCAAAGGTATAATGAGTTACCGGTTTTAATGGGGGGGGGGAACCATTGTTAAACTATACAAAGAAACAATGACAAAAACGAATAAGGTAAAACCATCGCAATGAGTTACTATGATTAATTTTTTTCTAAATAATGTACAATAACTAATTCAGCGTATTTTAGTTTTAATAATGTAAGTTTTCAGGTTCTCTTGTAAGATTTTAATTTTTTTTTCATACATTCACAGCTACGGCTTTCTTAGTCAAACTCTGTATTATGCAAACGTTTTGAAAATGACCTATCAATACCGTTAGAGAAAAACATATAAATAGGTCAATACTAATGTTGAGAACTTACTAGATGATAACGTGTGCAAAGGGATGGGTCAAGGTTGCGTAATTTGCGCACTTATAAACCTTAAGCCATCTGACTACCTATTCACTATTTGTTACCAGGATTCAAAGTATTGAGAGCGTAGACGGAAAGTAAAGTTACCTATACTAAAAAATGAAAATAGTTGTTAAGTTCCGATGATACTGTAAATTGAAATAACTTGATGTTTTAGACCAAAAACGTACTGCAGAAAGGATACAGTCTGAGAGAATCGCAACTTTGAAAAGTTACTGCAGGACGAACGACACCAAAACCACGGTAAATCATTAATATATCAGCAACATATTAAACTAGAGTTAGAGGAACACATGCCTTCGCCGTGTCAAGAAGTTTTTGAAGCGCTGAAACTTGAAAGATCCATCCACAACTTCTCGAAGTTTAAAGTTGACCTGCATACAGACGCAAACCTGACACTCTGACGAAAGCCTTTCCATTTACGATTTCATTTAAAAGTGATTGCACAATAGAATTTATGATATGCATTGGTTCAAGTCACGTAGTAGGCGCATAAGAAACCAGACTTTCCGTAAGATGTTATATGAGTAATGTATTGTTCGTTGAAATGAGTGAGTCGTAGGGTATCGTATGTTAAAGTGCAGTCAAGATAAAGGATAGCAACATGTAGGGAATGTCATTATTAATTAACTCATTGTTCTACAAATCAAACTTGTAATTTGCATCCCGGGAATATGTTGAAATTATTGAGTACACATTAGATGAGCTGGCTCAAAAGCTTTACCTTTTTGGATAGAGTAATGCCTATAAAAACTAATTATTAGTAAAATATATACTAGTATCAGGATTAATAGAAAAAAAGATTTTATATACGCATCGCATTAATTAAGTTTTTTGTCCCTTCTGTTTCTTTGACAGGAATTTCCGACGCGAAGACGATTCATTGTTAATGAAAGATATAAACTTCTATATTGCCAAGTATTTAAAACTGGAAGCACAACTACGTTAACCATTTTACATAACCTTGAACACAATGACAGAAGAAATACACACGACATGAGAGAACAACTCAATGACTTGCCATTCAAGCGGCTCAATACCTATTCTGATGAGGAAGTACGTTTTCGATTTGAGACGTACACCAAGCTTATTATTGTCCGGAATCCATTAGAGAGGTAAGTAAATAGTGAATAGTAGAATTGTTTGTACTCAGCGTAAATCTTTTCGCATTTGTCGGGGGGTATGTTTTCTGTTTGGTCTTGGTTGAGTGACTGTGGTGTGTGTCTGTATCTATGCCAATATAAAAACAAGAGTGGTTTTAGATGGACACCGTTAGTATTTTTGATGTTATTATCTTAATAATATCAAAATGATATTTTCGTTAACGTCAACTGAAAATCTACCCATCCTGAGAGTACAGATACGTCCCTATGTTTACTAATGAAGGGCTCTGCACAATCGGAGTACCGGCGAAGGAAGTCCAAAAGGTCCGTCGAGAAATACATTCTAATGAGGCCCCTGGTCCTCCCGGGATATCCAACTTCTTAAGGAGGACAATCATTAGCACCTCCTTGTGTAAACTTTTTACTCTCAACGAGCCAACTACCTGCCGAGTGGACCCAGTGTAATGTTTTACCTGTGTACAATACGAGGGGCAGTACTGACCCCTCCTGTATTTTTATCACCGGAGACTTGAAACACCCTCTAGTGTTCTTATGCAGGAGCTTGAATTGAGCATACTATTGACCAGAAGACACTTTCACTCCCTTGTTATGATGTATAAACTGCTCAATAGTCTCATCCTCTGTCCTCTCATTTGCAACCGCTGATACCCATCAAACGACTAGAGCAAAAAGTCACACGCGTACAGCTCCAGAATTCTACGCACCCCCAACATAGAACTTAGAGCTACAAGACCAGCTTCTTACCTTACCCGTCGCGACTGTGGAACCTGCTGTCTAAATCAATAAAGGAGGGGTCAGTACTACCCCCCCCCCGTATTGTACACAGGTAAAACATTACACTGGGTCAACTCGGCAGGAACCACGCAGTATCAGCACATTCAATAACTAGTGTCACCCGGTCAATAGGCAAAAACATCAGTCGGACCGGAACCTTAACAGCTAGAACTCATGTGGACAGGAAGTAGCTGTCGAACTAGTGGGCTGATACGTAATAGTAGATAAGATGAAGTTATTACCTTCGACAAGAAGGTTATGTTTTCATGGGCGTTCTTCTGTGTATGTGTGTCTGTCTGTCTGTCTGTAAGCACGATAACTCGAGAAGGCTTAACCCTCAACAGAACACCTTCCCGGACTGATTAATCTGTACACCTGGGGTCCGCGCGGACCCCAGAGCATTTTTTTGCTAATTTTTAGAAATTGTCAACATGCTACCAGCTCAATTGTTTTGCAAACTGATGTGGGAACCTCTGTGTCCACATTACATACAAAAATCATACATTTTGAACTTTTTCTATTTTTTGGTGAAGAAAAGAAGACAAGAAGAAATACCCGATTTTTAAACCCATTTCAGACTGAAGGGGCTTTTGAGGCCCAACTTTGATCTCAGATAGCGGCTAAACGGCTTGCGCTAGAAGTATCAAATTTGGAGACCTTTCTTAAAATGTCTCTGGAAAAAAGTTCATATTAGTTTTATACTAGTAAGTTGATTTTTTTTGTGTTGCCATGGCAACGGGTAGTTTTTTTGAAAATAGAAGTAATTTTGGTTTAAGCATAAAAATTTTCTGAGTTTTATATAAAATTACACTTCTTTTCCAACATTAATAGCATCTTACATAATTAAATATAAGTTATTTTAAATTAGCATATTCTTTGCATATTAAATGATGACGTCATTGGTCAAAATCCAATATGGCGGACTATATTATTAGCTCTGACGTCATATGACGTCATAATTACACCAAAGTTATTAAAATTTAATTCTATTACTACACCATTCTCTGAAAACTTGGTAGACATACGATGAATGCATAAAAACATATAAAAACGGAATAAGGTAATGTATAAGAACGCCAGTGTATCCATTATGATCGAAAGCCGGCTGGGGTCCGCGCGGACCCTAAAAGAAAATCAGATATAATTTTTTTTTTATAAATGGTAGAAACGGAGTTTTCTGAACTGTATTGAGAGACAACTTTGTGGGTGACAATTACCTAAAATTTCAGAAAAAAATCTTTAGAAACAAAAAAAGATATTACAGAATATATAGTGCTGGGGTCCGCGCGGACCCCAGGTGTACTGTTTAGGGTTGAAGGGGCATTGTGTGACATTTTCACAATAGAAAAGTCTATTTTCCATTCTTTTCTTTACATAGTACGTTGACTTAACCCTGGATATTCCAGAATAATACTCAGCAACAAAAAATTCAACATCCTTTGTCCTTATAATCTTACAAAAGTTTGAATGATCTCCTCTTCAAACCTCTGGCCACACCGCACATATGGCATTATCCACTCGTAGTGGTGTGGCCTACCTCCCAGTGGGGTGTCAGTTGACAGCTTACAAATTTCTGAAAGACCTCACCGTTTACCATATTTTTTTAATCTCTTTTGAAGGGACAATGACCACAGTTTATTGATTCCCAACGAAATACACTAAGTTGATAATCATATTCCACTTTATGTCAAAGATACGAGTGTTTGCAAAGAAGCTAATCTTATGACATGTGTCCCTGTCTATCAAGCCTGCCATGCCCGACCAATTAGCCACACTGGGGGGGGGGACCACTGTCTGTTGTTATTGTTGTTGTTGTCCTGAGCAAACCGGTGGCACCGGGAACTGAACGAGAGCTGTTTAAACGGACAAAATATACGTCAGAATAATGACACAAATATGTTGAAAAGTGATAGTAACTGTTGATAACACCAACATTTAGTACAATTAGAATATTTGAATTTTTTTCGTAAAAAGTTGCATATGAAGCTTTAAATGGATTGTCGTCATATTTCGTAGATGGGTAGGTCTTAATGAGACCTTGTAATTATATTTTGGGCCCCCTGTCAGCTTGTTATAGTACTGCAGCGGAACTTCCTGTTTTGATATCTCATGATCTAGACATGCTAGGGGCACAAAATTTGAAAAGTAGGTAGCCGTTGTGCTGGAAAATGAGTGACGTAGGTTTGGGCCCCCTCGCGGCTTGCTCTAGAACTGCAGGGGCGATTGTTTGAAATATTAAGGATAACTAAAGAACCGGTTAGCGGATCTTCGCGATTTTGTTATGAAGGTAGCGTAAGTGATGATGTAATTTAAGTGATGATGTAATTTGCATAATTTATAAGGAAATTAAAAAAATGCTGTATTACATTATAGGACTATTCAGCTTGTAATATATGTAATTAAGAACAATAGAAACACTTATATTGATTATTAAAATAAAGACTCAATTTGCATAATTAATGAAAACAAAATGTCATATTTCCATAATGGTAACTGCCTGGAATGTCATACTTGGGGTATTTGAAAGTTAAGTAAAGGTGAATATCATCAAACATAACTTCTTTAAATAAGGACATCATTTTCATAATTTATGAGGAAATGATGAATGGCTTTCTTTATTAAGATTATGCTGTCTTTTGGTGGAGATTATGTTAAACTGATATAATTCATGCAAATAAGGATCCTATTTCCATAATCAGGAGGAATAATCTTTACTTTGTCAGTCATTAACATTCATTGTTATTGGACGTTTATCGTTAGGTATTCGATTTATTCATATTTTTGTGCGGGACAACACCAACACAGTAGCTGTCTGTGCCCCACATTACAGATTTTTATGCATTTGTTGATTGTATTCATTTGTGTTCCGCATAACTCGAGAAGTTGTGAGAAACTGACTAGAGCGCTATGCACTGGATAGGTAAAAAAAGTCCGAACATAACGATATGATTTTGTTTAAAAATTCAGACTTGTATCAGCATGGGAGGACAAATTCTCTTACGCCCCTTCACGATTCGGATACCGGAAACAGTATCATTCTATGCTTAAAACACTTCTCTCAAACACGTCAAACACAGAGGTACGTTCGTTTTATCAGTATTTGATTCAACTAACGCGAGGTATATAGATGGTAGATCACGATGTTTGTACATTTCATTGAAAACAAATATAAATGTATCACAGCCGTTGACAAGCAGTCTGAAGTTAGGTGCACATGTGATATCTTAATTAAGGCTAAACTGAGATTGGAGTGGCCAAACGTAACCCGAGAAAATTCACTTGCATACACGTGATCCAAAACTAGAATATACCACCTTAATATCTGATCCAGATTCTGTATGAGGAACTATGAAAGAGGTGTTAGTGACACGGAAATGAAAAGAACCTAAAGTGGGTGTCACTCGAAGGCAGGCAATCCAGCCTAAGCATGATGTACAAAATGACTAATAAACTGATGGACGTATCAACTACTGGGTACCTTAAACCAACTCAGAAAAGCATGCCTTTGAGTGTTACAGTTATTAAGTACGGATTAAAAACTCATTATTTCCTAGAACTATCGCAGCTCATTATTTCCTAGAACTATCGCAGAGTTGAACTCGTTGTCATCACGTAAAGTGTGTTACGCCGACGACCGGTTATAGTGGCTATACAGAAAATAGAAAAATAAATCAAAACCTTTTTAACAATACATCTTTCTTTTCAGTTAGGACCATTTAAACTGCTTCCCGAAGGTACTGACAATAGATCATACCCAATAGTTCCGTTCCCGGCATTTATTAAAGCGGTTGGAACGAACAGGACGGAGTGGCAAGATCCTCACTGGCAGCTGATTTCAGACCTATGTGCCCCTTGCCAAGTAAGTAATATGTAAGTTATTATGGTCAGCAATAAAATGGGAGAGAGGGGGTAGATATGGTTAGGGGTTTTGATGCAGATACTATTCCAAGTTTAAAAACAGTTTTACCTGTTCGATATTTTGAGAAAAATATTTTCTCGTATTAATAACCCGATCTAGACGGGGGTGGTGCCCACGCCAAATTTGCTGTTGTAAACCGTCCAAACGGCGCGTGCTGGGGCCACCAAATTTGGTAACTCTTGAAAAATATTGTTGGGAAAAATTTAATGGCAGTGATATAAGTTAAAAATGTTATTCGTGTTGCCATGGCAACAGGTTTCTGGTGCATTTTCTGCAAAAATCAGAAATTTAGTCTTAAACAGTAAAACCCGTGTGTTAATTTACATATGTTTTCTAGTACTAAAAACATCTAATGTAAATTAATGTCATTCTTATCTATAATTTTAATAATTTATGCCAATTTGATGACGTTATCAAAGATCTTAAAATCTAAGATTGCAGACTATATTTTAAGCTCATGTAAGATCAGGTACATTTCGTTTTTTTTTCGATATTTTTTTTAAATAAAAGATTACTTTCAAATCTTCTTCTTCTTCTTCTTCTTGAGTACTCTCTAACCACCCCTACTGGGGTATCACTGAGAGGGGGGGGTGCGACGGACTATTGCTGCGCGGCC